AGTTCCCTGACTTTAGAAAGGTACATTGTTATGAATTCACAATCCTTATTTTTTGTGATAATAACTGACATTAGATTTAATTCACATGATAGCTTTTTCAAACCAGAGGTGAATGTGTCTTCTTTTGTATCCTAGACGCTGTAGCATATAACACAGACATCTTGCACAGGACTAGAGCAGCACAACTGCTCAGACTGTTGACTGCTGTGGGTACAATGCTCCTCCCTTCTTGCGAATTGTAATCAAAAGCATAAACTACCTTATCCCAGGTGATGGCCTTTCTTGTGGGGTGACTGAGTTACAAATGCTAAATACTTTGGCTTTGATTTGGCGGCAATGAGTATGAAACCAAATTGGAATCCAGATGTAATGTGTACGGCAGTAGGTAGAGGTCAAAGGGGAGTTAATGCTACCACAAGGCATGAGAACAAGTCCCGCAGCTTCAGCAACCCAAGGGGCTGGCCCACCTCCAGACTCCCAGAGGCTGAGCTGAGGCATCAGTTACATTTAGACAGTAGTTTCAGCTTCTTTTTCCTAAGCCTGTCTTATATAGATGAGTCTTGAAATTGCTCCCCATTGACTCTTTTGGACAGTCGGTTTTCAGAGTCCAGTTGAAGATAATTTCTAACCACCCTTCATCTTTCATGAAGGGAAAGACCTCTGCTTCTGTCTTTTCCAACATCTCTTAGTCACTGCACACACATGTCCGTGCACACAAACACACACACATGCACACACACACACACACCCAGCAAATCCTGTCTTTTCCTCACAAGTCTCTAGTCTGTATGACTATTTATATTTAAATTTCTCCAATTTTCAGCCCATAATTTTATTACGCAGAACCATACAAGAGCTAATTCCTTTTTTAAAAATTTTATTGACCTAAAAATTACTAAATAACCAAAATTTTAGGAATTTGTAGAAATGAGAAAATGAGCTAGGAAATGATTGGAAACACATTTGTAAGCAATTTTGTGATTAAAAGTAGATGTAGACATCTGTAAAACATTTGTTTTTCACTAAAGAAGATGATTGTTTATAAGGTTTCTAGGTCTTAGCAACTGTAGCAGCTCTATCTTTTTACAAATTAAAAAGAATGGCCCATCCAAACTAAACCATGTTTATGTAAATACTAACCAACACCTATGATTCTTTTCTGGGAATGCATAAAAGTGTGTAAAAACTCTTATTCTGTTTTCATTATATGATACATATTGAGCATTTCAGATGATAAGCTAAACTGTATATGTTCTAATTATTTGAGTTAGAAAGAAAATATAATAAAATGTAAATACTTAAAGGACTTTTTCAATGTGAAGATCCAAAAAAAGTGCACTTATGTACACATTTCATGCCTGAAAGTGCTAGCATTGAGCAAATTTCTCAATGTGCATTCTTTCCAGATGAGCTACATTTAGACAACTAAATCTATAATGCAATATAACATGGTCATATTAGCCTAGTGATGCAGAAAAGGCCATCTGTACCACCTTGGATATGACTATACTATAGGAGCAAACTAAATGCCTTGTGTGGTCATTAATTTAAGAAAGCCAGTGAACCGTTTTTTAAAGGAGGAGGGTAATATAAGTGATAAAGAATGAATAAAAGCAGGCATTGACCTTCAGTGCTTTGTAATGAGCTTGCAAAATTGATTTGTAAACCACTTTAAAACTCAATTTCATGTGCATTAAAAACTAATCAGATGACTTTGATGTAGTTCACAGATTTTTAACTTGGCAATTTACAAGAGCATAAAATAGTTGCTAATAGAAATATGTAAGAATCCTTGCAAAACAATTATCATCATGCACTGATATTTAATCTTGTTTGAACAGATCGGTTACTCTCACCTTTGTTTATCAACCCAAAGTTTAATGATGAATTTAGTTGTTATTTATCCTTGCATCATGTCACATGTTTTATTAGAGACATAAATCCTATTTCAATTATATTTAACATTGCTAACAATCGTACTACAAATTGAAATTTCACAATAATAAATTAGCCTACTTAGTTCTAAAATGTTCCATAACAGGTTTTACTTTACATAAATTTGCTAGGTGATGAGGAGCTTGAAGATACTTCTGGGTATTCTCTAGAATGAGAATGGTAGCAATTAATAACATCTCTAAAAAGGTAATTTGAGCAATGAGAGGTGTGTGAGGTATTTAGGGCATAATACAGAGTTCTCCATTTCCACTATGATCATGTTTTTAGCAATCATTTTTAGTAAATATGAGTACATACAGTTCTAGAAGTTGAGATTACTTAATTACACAATGCAATTAAATACACCACAGTCAAAATTGAGTACATCATCAGTTCAGCTTAGAATTGGTCTGTGGAAATTCATTTACCATGCTCAGGCATTCTGCCAGGGCCATAGCTCAATGGTGAAAAATAGACAAGGCCCTTTGCATAAGGACTGTACTCCTGTTGGGGAGGGAAGTGTTAACCAGAAAACCAATGTGTATACTTATTAACAAATAATGACTACTGTAAAAGGGTGCTAACCTGGACCAGAAGGAAGATACATATTCTCTAGGGAAATAACATTGGAACTAAAGCCTAAAGGATGAGCTTAGTAGGCAGAAAGAAAAGATCAAACACAAGGCAACTCTGAGCCTGAAAGAAGCACACGCCTCTGGAGGAATTAAAAAGTCTTATCCCTGGTTTCTAGAGAACAAGGAGCACAGCTGAAGTTGCAGGATGCTGATAGTTTTGTCTTCAGTCCCAAAGCAAGAAGAGGATTGGTAGTTAAACTTGATAAGTCATGAATTTTTTAAATAAAAATATTTTGAAAGATGGAAAATGATGTAAATATAAGATGTTATTAATATTTTGTTGTAAAGAACCATATGAATCATTAGAGTAGCTTGGATGGGAAAGAACAGTGGAGGTGAAAATATTAGAAAAATATTTGGAAGCTAAAATGAACACAGAGGCTTGATGTCATTTGGATATAGAGATTGGTAAATGACAGAACAGTATCTAGCATGAACCTCAATTCTCAAATTTATCTGACAGGTGGATTATAATGTCAAGTTTAGAGGGATAGATCATGAAGTTAGCATTTGCTATAAATTTTGAGGTGTCTTTAACTATCTCTAAGTGTATATATTAATGATGTCATTAGTGAAATTTCAGAACTCAGTAGTCGTCTGACTGGAAGATACAAATTTATAAATGTTAGATTAAAGACAGAACTAAAAATCTTTATGTTGGTCAAAGCATTGACTAGAAGAATGAATTCAAAATAGAGAAAATTTCATGAATTTTGAAAATGTTTTTCCAAGTTTTACAACTGTTTTTAATTCAATTAAGACCAGTTCATAACAAATATATTTGAAATATATTGTCAGAGATCATAATTTTTAGACACTTAAGAATGTAAAAAGGTAGAAAATGTTATAACTCAAAGACACAAGCTGACTGTCCAAAAGGTAACACGTAATTATAAAGACAGGGATGACCCGGACCCAGTAAAATACACTAGCAATAGGAATTACAAAACAAATTTTCTCGTAAATATACTTGGGAAATGTTGGATTATAGATACTATTTGGATGCTTTCTCTTATCCTTTCATATTTTTCAATGGTAGAAATTTTACGTATTTTAGAATTATTTTTAAATGTATAAAAGCATTCACATTTTATATAATGAACAGTAGAAACATATAAGAAATATGCAATACAAATTTCTACTTCTGAAAGTAGATACTTTCCAAGATAATCAATATTAATCATTTTCACAGTGTTCTTCTGCATATTTCTCTGCTACAACAAAACTTCTATGAACAGTACAGACTTTTATCATTTTTAGTGAAATTTTAAAATACACATATTCAAACCTTGCTTTGTAACATAACACTATTTTAACAACCTTTTACTCAAAATATGTATGAATTTTAGTTTTTAAGACTATTGTGTTGTAGGATTCCACAATATAAAATGCCATGACTTATTCCACCACTCTCCTATTAATGGATGTTAGGATAGTCTTCAGTTTTTATACCTTTGCAGTGCCCTATATGTGAGTTGCTGATCCAAATGAAAAGCATATAGGTTTTATTAAGTAGATATTTTCAAATGTCTTTCAATCCCACCAGCAAAGTGTCACAACAATTACCAGTATTGTTGTCAAAAAATTAGATGTTCTAAGCTTTTTTCATTTTTTTTGTTTTACTGATAAACAGAAGTGTGTAAAATAAATATGTTCTTGGTTTAATTTGTAATGTTTACTGCTAATATGTTCATTTAGACATTTTATTGTTGAATGTCCTAAGTTCTATATATTTATTAACTAATATTTAAATTTCTAATTCACTTTCTAATGTTTATATTTAGTTGCCCTTTTGTGCATCATCCAGTCTGAGCTATGTATAACACTTCATGCTAAACTGTAAGATTTTGGAAAGACAACTACAATAAAAACAAAAGGCAGAAGAAGTAAATTCTTAACTTTAGCGTATACCTCTTGGGAAACCAAAAACCCTTCAAGAATTCCAAATGGAATAGGAGCCTCTGACTCACAGTTGACCGTACTTTTCCTATGCAAACTCAACTCGCAGGATAATCAGTACACACCTTACTAAATGTGAGGGGCACTCTATCCCACCGTACTTATTTCTCTTTCATTCCCGGTACACATACATGAAACATATTCGTTCTCCCATTTCCCCTCCACTTAGGATGTGTGATCTCTTTCTTCTTTTGCTATCTAACTTGTGCATGTATAGGGAATAAAAGTTTCTTTTCATCTAATCTAAATAATGAGATATTACCTAATCATCATATAATGCACAAATTGCTATTTTCTTGCTATCTATAATCATATTGCTCCGACTGATGTGCCTCACTTCAACTATAACTATATATTGACTAATAATTCTTTTTCCATCATTTTTAAGTAAGAGTCAACGATTTTTATTTTGCTTAAAGGAAATTTTACCCACTGTCTCGTAACAATGTTCTTTCCTATCTCCATTTGTAGGGAAACTTTTTGGGTTCAAGTTCCCTGGTCTGAGAGTTCTCTCTTACAGAAAGCAGTCCTTACCACAAGAAGACCCTGATGTGGTTGTAATTGATTCTTCTAAACACAGTGATGATTCAGTGGCTATGAAACACTTTAAGTCTCCTACAAAAGAAAGCTGCAGCCCTTCTGAAGCAGATGATACAAAAGCCTTGATACAGCCCAGCAAGTGTTCTCCCCTGGTGAATATATCTGGACCTCTTGACCATTCCTCTCCTAAAAGGCAATGGGACCGACTCTACCCTGACATGCTGCAATCAAGTTCCCAACTGACCCATTCCAGATCCAGGGAAAGCCTCTGTAGCATCCGGAGGGCATCTTCAGTCCATGACATAGAGGGATTCAGTGTCCACCCCAAAAACATTTTTAGAGACCGACATGCCAGTGAAGGTATGTTGTTGTCCTTGTTGTTGTTGTTTAACATAAAACATATGTTAATGAGTAGTGATGGCTTATTTCCTTATTAATTTTAATATCAACATTAATCATGTGCTTTACAAGAAAAGTTGTGATTAAAGCCCATTAAAATGTAGATCTTACTTTCAGAGTTGTTTTTCATTTTGTTTTTGGACTACAATGAGTAATTTGGTTTCTTCTGGGTTCTTCACCTGGGTTTCTGAAATAGTACGATAACAATATACCTGCCCACTACATGGAGTGTTGATTAATTGATGCCTCGTATAAGATAGGTAGAGGTGATGTGCACTCTCATCTCAAGCATGATTAATTTTGCTATGTTTAACAAATGATCACACCCAGATAGGATAAAGTGGTATGCTACAGTCACAGGACTAGGTTGTTAACCAACTCTCTGCAAATGGAGGGCTAGAAAACATGATATACTGGGAGACTGCAGATAGGAGAGAGGAGAGGGAACAATTCGAGGGGAAAATCCCACAAAGCACCTTGAAAAACAAAGTGAGAATTTATGTAATTCTACTTGGCTTCTCTCTATGTATCTTATGTTTGTCAGTGATGAAAATAGAGAAATTTTAAAACATTCACAGCAACAATTCATCATTAATATGACAATGGATATCCTCAATGGAGTATTCACTATGCTTGAGGCGATGCAAGTGATTAACACGTTTTAACTCTCTTATTTTTCCTAGCAACTCTATAAATTAGGAATAAGTTTAAGCCCCATTTGATTGATGAGGTTTAGGTGTATTAAATAAATAACTGACCCAAGGTTACAGAACTAGTTAGTCAATGTCAGAGTCCGGCTCTGCCTGTCTTTAGAGTCCACAATCTAATCCATAGTACATTTTCCCTCTTCCCCCCTGTTTCCTGAGACCTCAGTATAAGGAGGATCTTTGAATCACTGAACTCCCTCAGTGTGTCTGAGAACCAGTGTCCTCTGCATGGTTACATCAGGTTCACTTCTCTTATTCCCACAGATCTGGGTCTTACAAGACCTTCTTTCCTTTCATAACCATCTCATGAAGCGCAGTCATCACCCCTGGAGTTGCCAGTAATCTTTTTAGAACAGAAATTTTGCCTTATAGATCCTCAGTAAGGAGAGCACTAGGGACCTTACTAAGCACCAGGTGCTTTTCAAGCTTCAGTTCTTGTTCCCCAAGGCTGCGTCCCCTGATATATACTCTGTTTCAAGCCTTACCAAGAAAACATGCAGGTGTCCAAAAGCTTCTCATGTCTTAGTCTCCTGGATTATCTCATTCTAGCTAAAATGCTCTTTACACTTTGTCCCTTTTCACTCTATGAAAGTTTATTATACTCTGTGTACTGCATAATATAGCTCTACCATTGTTAGGTATGCAGATAAACAGCTATGTTGCTGTGAGCTGCCCTAGGCAGTAGCAACCCTGCAGTTACTTGTACAGCTTATCAGAAGTACCACTTCATTTTATGACAGATACTCAATAAATGTTAACTTGACATTGAGCAGATTTTGCTCACAATTCGTTCTAAACTCATTCACCTCAAGCAATGCATTATCTGTTTCATGGTAATCTGAACTTAAACCAATGCCTTAAATTTGAATCATGTAGAGGAAGAACACAGTGAAATAGAAGAAGCAGAAAAGTTGAAAGAAAAATTAGTTGGCAACAGAAAATTCAGCAATATAACCCAAAACTTCACACAGAAATAGCCCTTTGTTATAAGACAGGTTTGAGAAGCTGGGCACAGTGGCACATGCCTATAATCCTATCAGTCAGGAGGCTGATGCAAAGTATTGCTATAAGTTCAAAGCCAGCCTGGTCTACAAAGTGAGTTTAAGACCAGCCTGAACCACATAGTGAAACCTTGTCTCAAAAGAAAAAGAGAGAGAGAGAGAGAGAGAGAGAGAGAGAGAGAGAGACAGAGAGAGACAGAGACAGAGAGAGACAGAGAGGAGAGAGAGAGAGAGAGAGAGAGAGACAAGTTTGAGAAACTATAGAAAAGCAATTAGCACACCCACTTTAATCTGTAAACCAAAGAAGTCAAAGCAAAATAAAATAAAATAAAATAAAAGACAATTCTCAACTTGGGTAATCATCTAAAGAATTATAGCTTCCAGTAAAAGTGGATTGAGTGTTCCCTGCCAGAATGAAACCTATGTAATTAGCCCTTAACCATGGATCATGTGGCTGATCTATAAATTCAATCAGGCAATTCAAATGAGCAATGTATCTTTCGGTCACAACAGCTAGTATAATCATCTTCATCAAACATACCAACCCTTCAAAGAGTGTCCTTTTAGAGATTTCCCCTGTAATAACTTGCATCACTGGATAATAACATTAGCAACATTAAATTTGAAAATCAAACTGATACACAAGTCAGTACACCCCACAGATTTCATGCTTGTTTTGACAGTGGCTCTTTGTAGTTTAGACCAGGCTTCAAAACTTTATTGCTTTCAATGTCCATTCAGAACACAATTGCTGGTGCAATTATGGGAAAGCATGACTTAATATTTATTTTTCAGTAGAGATAGTACACATGGACACTTGGTATTAAGATCATCCTGTTTTCCTTCCCCATCTAAACTAGATTATTTTCAGCAAGTCATATCACTTCTTTAGGATGCATCAGTCTTCATGTGGCTATGGATTAATAAATTTAGAAGGCATTTTATACATTAGTTTTAGAGCAATTTTAGTTGTACAATTGCTGATAGACATAGAAGAAACTATATTTCTTAGGGCAACATAGTAATATATATATTTTTTTTAATTTTATTTTTATTTTTAAAAGAAAAAAACAAATTTCAAAACAAGATAATAGGAAGGTAACAATGGTCAATACATTATCTTTAAATTAGTCATGTATTTTAAAATGGAGCTGTTCAATTAAGTAGATGGAAAACTGCATAATTCATTTTAATTTTATGAATCCATGAAATTGAATCAACAGTTTGAAGCTTGCATGCACCCGTTTTGCTTTCAGATTGTTGTTTCATTTTATCTATATAGACTAATTTTACAGAACTTTAAATATTTTGCAAATATATTATTAGTACATAGCAATGTATATAATCCTCTCATCTGTACAAGCACCTTTTAGGACTGCATTTTTCAAACCATGTTGGTGAAGGACCAGAAGTTTTTTTATAATTTACCATACTCCTACACATTTGTAAATTCAATAAAAATGCATTCCTGGGAAAACAAAGTTACACAATAGACCTACAAAACACAAATCTCAGTTGTTTTATCATTAGATTTAACAGACATGAAGACAATCTATCAAACTGCCACAAAAGATTCTAACTATTCTAATATCTGCACTTATTTTACCATAAAAGAACAATAAGCCGATCTTGGTACAGACCTTTGAATATGCAAAGTGCCTTAATATGGTGTGACATTTTGTTTTTATGTGAATCTGTAAATCTTTATTTATAGTTTCTAAGTTTGTAGAATTTATTAATGATTTTTACACTAAGAATCTTATAGGGAAATTGTTTCTCTGTCATCAAAATCTTTTCTATCCCAATTCACTTTTTATGATTCCCTCAAAGAGGGAAAGAAGTTCTCATCAAATGCAACAATTTATTTATGCATTTCTTATGTATGCCAAGTCTATTCTACTAATTCAGTATGTCACACTATTGGAATTACTGTAAGTGTAGGTTCTGAAATAATTCTGATATGTGTAGTGAAAATGTATTTGTCCACTATATGGTAACAAATTTTTCAATTCTTGGATATATTTGAATGGTTTGATGTGACTTTGTTTGTTTTAAGCTTATGTGTTTCAAAACTAGTAATATATATTTTATTGGCAACATGTATCCAAAATTTGGATTGACAATCTCAAAATAAATCTAAAAATATTCCACTCTAATATTTGAAACCAGCCTATTTTAATATAAAAATCCTAAATATTCCAGATAGTATGCTATCTTGTCACAATACAAGTAAGAGACATACACATTTTCTTTATACAGTCAAATTTACCTGTTTTTGCCATTATTATTGCCTAATAATAACTCTCTTAGCTAACGCTGTTATTTTTTAAAACATAATATTCAAGAACATTCAACAATATGAAGCAACAAATAAAATTATGAATAATGCAATTTGGTTTATTAAATTGTTATTTTAATACACTTTCCTCATCAACACACTCTAGTGTGTTGATTTTTTACATTAAGCAAAAAATATTTAGCATGATAAATGTGTGATCTGCCTTTGAAAAGACTGTATGTGATGCTTGAGGGAAAACCAAAACTGACATCTGACAAGGTTGAAGTTTATCACAACTGCAGGCAACTGTGGATGTCTTTCTCCAAACCGTCATTATTATTATAAAATCTGTGTCTTGGAATCCATTTAAATTAAATGAGCTAAACATTTCCCATACTTAACCATGTTAATTACGGCAGATATTTCTAGTTACATGAGTTTCGTTGGCTGAATAGTACACAATGTTAATTTCAACCAAAGATACATTTTCAGTCATCCCATCCTGTTTTATATGATTGTTTTTGCAAAGATAATTCGGTGAATACAAGATAATTTTAGTTTTCTTTTTATGTTTCTCTCTCTTTTGTCCTTATATGCTCATTTCAGACAATGGTCGCAATGTCAAAGGTAATGTACAAGCTCAAATTTCACCATCGGACGCTTACAGTGCCCTTTACTCGGCATGTCAACTTGCCTGCTGTATGCCCTGTTCAGTGCACCCTCTCCATGCTGCCCTTAGCTAGTCCAGGTGCCTGGTGGAGACATCATGGCTTGATTTTCCTGGAGACATTTGTTAACTTTCTCAGCTGTGTCATCAAAATAATTATAAGCACCTTTTCTCCTACAAGAAACGTAGCCGTAGGTTGACAATGAACACTTTGTAAACATTTAAATCATCTGGAAAGTAATGAATATCAAGCTAAATATATTTCAGTGTGAAAGAAGCACATAAGCCTATATTGGAGGAAAATTTTAAATTAATGATTAAATTTAAAAATGAAAAAAATGCTATATGACAGCATCAATTCATCTGTCCCTCTTTTGTTTCCTTAAAACTAGTTTCACGTTCCTGGATGGCAGGGGGTATGGTTTTAAGCTTACTGTAGTAGTATACTGTACATGCATGAGAGTCATTTTAAACTTTGTATTTTAATCATTTCTAACTGTGTTGTATATTATTCTGAAATCAAAGGCTTGACCTACAGCTACCATAGGCTAATGTTTAATTGGACAAAACTCTGTCAAAATTTGGATTTGGCTAAAAATTTGAAATTTATTTCTGTTTTCTACTATCTCACGGTAGAACATGAAAAACATACTATCCTTTTCAAATTGAAAATTCTTGGTTTGGTCTTTTGACCTAGGACATGCATGCTGTGGTGGATGTTCAGATGGTGACAGTGACTCATTTTGTGCATGTGTGTTGCATGAATAACGTCTCCACCAGTTACCGTCATTACTTAGAACGTACTCTTTTAGCTGTTTCTCTATGTCATTGGTACTCTAACCACTGTGCAGTTTTATGTATTGGTTTCTCCATTGCTTCCTTAAATGAATCAAAGCTGTTACTGATTGTGAATTAATAACATTGAAAACCAAGAATGTTTTCTAGTCAGGAAATGGGATAATTTAAAAATAATGAAATTGTAGAAATTTCCTCCTACTACTGTAAACTTCATTTTGTAAGCATTTCAAAAGGGTCTTTGTGGTCCCCTCCAATAGTGGGATTGAATTCCACCTATTCTACATAATTTTTCTGTCCTTGGCTTGTCCTATATGATTTCTCAAAGGGAAGGAATTAGTGTCAGCTATGGGTGATGATCTCAGTTACATAATTGAGAATGTAACCTCAAGAAACAGTATATAGACAGCTCTTGTCAGTTTGCCTGTATGCCATATGACAGACTTACTATTTAACAAATAACAGTAAATTAATAGGTATTAATTTCAAGTGTTTTTCTAAAATTGAATAAATCTAATTGTTTCTTATTAAGTAGAAAATTAGACTGACTCATGTTGAAGTCAGTGGTTTACCTGTCAAACTTCAGTAATTTTGTTTTTAATTTTATGAACTAATTCATTAAATCAACTCTACACTTACAGTTCCCTTTTACTACCTTGCAGGAGCGACAAACAATAAAATCTAAATATCAATTCAATAATAACTGGAACATATACGAGAATTTGGGATTACTGTTTTCTAAACCACTGTATAAAGTTTTAACATATTTATAATGATAAAGTTAAACCCCTAAATTACAGGAAATATTTGCAAGCTTAATAAAACTTTAATGTAAAATGAATTACCAAGTTTTCATTATTTCTTAATGTTCAAGTTTTAAGAACTATTAAACAATACTGAAGTGCCTTCTTTAAGATTTTCACAGGAAAATTAATATGTTAATTAATGAGGAATAATGCATTAAGTGACCTTTAAATTTTTTGGCTTTGTTTCTAAGACAGAATTAAATTTTAAAAATTACAAAAAAATATAGACAGCTTTGTATATAGAATGCATAATTACAATTAATTATTCCAATAATTAATTCAACCAAAATACTTTATTACAGACAAAAGTAATTTAGCAATGTATTTGGAAGGTCTTCAACATCGTCTGATTTTTTCTCCTTCAGGTGAGATGTTGGCTGATTCCTTTGCACAAGTGGTACCAGCATCTTTGTCTTCAGAAGAGGCCATTCTTTAACTGTCTTAGGAAGTCTGTTTTAGCTCCTACTATGCAAAGAGCCAGCCTAAATCCCTCTTACTGAAATGTATTTTTCTTTCCTGTCATCTATCACGATTGCACAGAAGTCTTGATACAGTAGTTGTGCTCTGCTGTTAGTATAGCATTACAACATCAACCCAGCAAATTGGTACTTTCCTTCCAAATTAAAATAATATCCACTTCACCTTCTTGGGATCTATTTTATTTCAGTTTTTGCCTTAATTTTCCTTTTAGAAAGTATAACATTATCAAGGAGTGAAAAATCTACTTCATATAAATTGTATAGTCAACATATGTAGATATATGTATTATAATTTTAGTAATTTATTTAGCATATGAGAGGGTATCTAATCTTACCTCAATCATTCATAAACTGATTTTAATCTCAGTCTTAGTGGGTTCTCTCTCTGCTTTTCTTTCAAATCATTAATGAAAAATTTATTCTAATAAATATCATTGATGCAATTGTCAAATTTTGCCCCTATATCGTGCCCTTTTCCTTCTTCTCACGAAGACCTACATTTTGCTAACATTGGTGTTGATTTTCCAACTATCCATGAATCGGTCATCTGACTCAGAATGAACTGCTGTGAAGATTTATTACAACTTTCACCTGCACGCTAGCCAGGAAACCTATCAGACTCATAAAGGAAATAAATCAATTTAATACAACCGTTTCACATAAGTCACATTGGCCAATTCTCAGAATTTTGTAATCTTATAAGGATTTGGAAATGTATTTTTCAATAATGACACTTTTCCTTTATAAATTACATGTCATTTTGTGGAACAGAAACTGTGGATTCTAATTATGAGTAATCTGATTATTGCTTCTAATACGTGTCTAACCTGTAAAGTTAGACTTTACTACCTTATGGTTATGGACAGAGTTCTTTTACAAGACTTAATTACTAAATGCTTCCTTCAATGTTCAGTAATTTGGGTTCTGTTAAATTTCAACCAAGTAACCTTAATATCTTAAGAAATATTGTACACAGACACGGTGATTCAAAAATAAACAATTCTTTTGTTTTCCCTCTTCTTTTTTCACTTTGCCCTGAAAAATAAATTTTAAATATATATATTTCAGATATACTTAGCTATACTTCTAAAAGTGACTATATTCTTCTTCAATGTTTCATAACATTATTATGATTAACATGATTATGTTTAACATAACATAACATAACATAATAATGATTAACATTATTATGATTAACATGATTATTTTAGTCATAATCATGTAAATTTTAAATTTGATAAATGAAATTTTTTTCAGTTTTCTCTTTATCCTCTGGCTTGACTTCTGAATGTGGAATAATTCTTGTCACTATACATTGTCCTACTTTCTATTAAATCAGATATTTGAAACATATTAAAACTTTATCCAAATGTTGGTTTAGTTTACTTGGTCTTGTTTTCCTCCTTCTAATATATTGAATAATTTAATTTGGTCATCTGTTTTAGCAATGTTACTTTAAAGAACATTTAGACCTATTTTTGAGTTTTACATTTCTTTCAGTTTTATCTAACTTCTGTCCATTCATTTTCTTTAAATCATTTAGTTTGTTTTTAAGGGTATGCTCCTTTCTTTCCTTAGAATCCTAAATTCCTTCTGTTCATGATTTCTCTCAGTGAGGCTGTTTTTCACCTTTAAATCCTCTACAAAGGCCTCTCTGAATATAGACATAGGAGGTAGGAAAGCCTGTATTCTGGTTTACAGTCGCTGCTTCTTAGATCTATTTGGCCTCATATTCTGTTGGTTTGCATTTAGAATTGGTGGAATGCAATTTTAATTCCAACCATAAAGCATTGGGCATTTTTATTAAAATATAGATATGATGTGAGAGGAACCTAAGCCAACATTGATCATCTTGAAGATTCTTGAAGACTTTTACACATGAAAACCTGATTCAAAATTAGTAGAAAGAAGCATTGTGACCTTTATTTCACAGGATGCAGTAATTGCAGTTTTTTGATTTAAGTAGCCTGCATTAGTTATTTTAAGAAATATATTCAATATGCTGAATTTATTAAATTAATCAACTTTAAAAATCTAGATTAACTTTTGCAAACTAAGATCTGAAACTAAAATTTATTGGAGAAACTATTTCAAAATTTTTCAAACAGTAAATATAAGAACCTAAAATAGTGATTGATTAAAGTTTCAAACTCTGAAAGCAAATGTATGGTAAGTCTTCAGTTGCTCATGGTGTCACACATGAGCTTTCCTTGTTTTAACAAATATATTCTTATACTTATTTTACTAACATGTAATGAAATTCAGAGATAATTTAACATATATCTAAAAGATCAGCACAGTTTCCTAAATGTAATATAAAAGAATCATACAATGGAAAGTAGTTTATAATCAGATGATAGTTCTTTCAAAATGCTAGTACTCAGCTGTTAATACATGAGAAGACATAATTCAATAATTATATATATGAAAAATATTGGCTTCCAAACCATTAAACAGGATGAAACATTCCATATGTGAACTGATAAAATGAAGGAACAGGAATATGGGTGCTTAGTAAAACAAAACTGATATTTGGAATTAATAGTAACAGATTGGACTTACATATGAATGTTAAAAGTGGAAAATAATCAAAATAAAAATATACCACACAAACTAGAGAGACATTAGAAAGCATGAGATTCTCACAAGTGACCTGACCGTCAATTTTAATTATTCTGTGAAAATAGGTCTTTTTGTGATAAAATACAATAACAATAATTGAACAGAAGAAACAAATATCCCTAGATGTTGTATTATGTATTTAACTTCATATTTTTTTAAAAAAATAACTTGCAAATCGTATGCTTTGTTAAGTAATAAAAAATGAAAGATGAACTGAAGAAATAAGTGACCGTCAAAACATTACAGAGAAGCCCTCACAGATCTCCAGAGAGTTATTAGCATAAGACTGAACATCAACAGGTGATCCTAAGACAAATAATGAATTTTAAATGCTTAGTTATTGGCACACAGATTTTCATTTCATGTATCATTACACTTTCAGAGAATAAGAAAGCAAAAACATTTTTAAAGAATTATTATTCCTGATTTTAACATGATTCTTTTATCTGCAAATTTAATAATATTTTGTCCCTATACTGAAATAACCCAAAATCTCTTAGTTTCCATATTTGCATGTGATAGGTACAATATAGGCTGTAATCTCAACTCCAAAACTTTATTTTGGCTACTCAACACAAAGGTACCACCAAGAATGTAGCTCTCAGTAACCCATTTTTCCAAAAATAACAAGCCAATATTAACAAAGCTATGAACAAAACAATATTTATCTTCTCTCCTCATGGCATGGTAGTTCTGAAGATTTTAATTTATATTGAAACCATGTAAAAGTACAGTGTCTTGTTTTATATGAAATTAGTTGAAGATTCAGATCATTACAAACAGGCTTTTAATCTTCATGAGGTCCCTTGGAATACTGGAACAATTTATCAAGATGATTGTGGTTGATACTCAAATTCTTCCATCTTTATGAAAATCAGAAATGTCTTCACAAATGTTCCCACTGGTGAAGTGATATGCAGTAGAGACCTTGTGTTATAAGTATAGCTAGTACAGTTTATTAGGAATGGTAACAAGAACAAGAGAAGTATACTAACAGGGCTTTTCCTATCTATTAACATTATCTATGTTTTATCAAAATATCTTTGGTGCAGGCTGGGGATTTAGCTCAGCAGCATAAGCGCCTGCCTTGCAAGCAGGCAGTCGTGAGTTCGATCCCTGGTACCAATAAAAATGAAAAAATGAAAAAGACCAAAAAAAAAAAAAAAATATCTTTGGTGCACAATTTGCTCCAGAAATTCAACTTAAAGAGGGATGATATGGAAATAGAACTGAAACATAGATTTGAAGGATTTTAATATAATTTAACTATACCCCTGAACTCTACCACCCACAATGTCTTATGCTTATCCAAGTACAGTTAAAATACATAAACCATAAAATGTGGAAAATTAGGAAAAAGACAATGAATAATCAGTTGAAGTTCTAGCATATTTTAAAATTTAAAATGTTAAAATATGTGCTTAAATATAGTCATAGGATGCTCAAAATGAGAGAATGTTATCTGGAATATATAATAATAATAAATAAATGTGAGAAGTGAAGATTTCTGAGAGGACCTAACAGAAGGAACTTTTGGTCAGAGACCTATCTGTTAAGCTCATCCAGCTTGGTTTTAATTTTTACTCTGACCTCTACTTACACATGAACACACCTGAGGCAATAAATCCTCAGAGAGCTCAATGATATTTTCAGGTAGATGGACTTGTTATCTTCATGGGAGTGAAGAGAAACGCAATTAAAGAGGTATAATATTTGCTAAATACATAAAAGTTTCCTTAATGTTACTTCAAAGTTTTATAATAAATTAGCATACACATTTATATGCAAGTATAGTTTGATTTTCTCCATAGCAACTATGAATAAAATGACAAATACAGGATTATGTTCTAAGCACTATGTTTGATCTGAGTTGATTAATTGATAGAGTCCAAAATAAGCAACTTCTGTTTAATGTTGAAGTATTTATGCTTTTCTTGATGTTTAAAGTACATTTTGATCCTTAAAATTTTGTATTTCAGCTCAAATGGAATAAAACAATAGAAAGCAAAACATGCCATATAGCTCATTCATGAAATCTATATGTTTTAACCCTTCTGAGGCAGGAAGATACTGTATAACACAATTGGACCCAGGAATTACATAAAGTCTTCTTGATATTTATTTTAACAGCTAAATAATCAAATAAATAATATATCCATTGCACAAGAAACTCTTTGGAGCATTTTCTGACTTGTAAGCAACAGACAAGATTCAGATGTTGATGATCAATCTATTTCCTCACAAAGGAAACAAGGCTGACAGCACCTTGTTGAATGATTTTTGTGGGAACAGAACGTAAGATATGGCTGGAAATTAGCAACCCCAAATATGTTACGTTACCTAACCACGGTCACTCCTAAAAAAAGTTATATTTGTCAGAGTCTTTTGCTTATACGGTTTTTGCAGTGCCTTTTCTTTTTCCTTGGAAAGTGTTTACTTTTAAGTCTAAATAAGAGAAAAAATTGAAAGAAAGATTTAAAATCCTACACAAGATTGTCTAATTTCTAATACAGAATACACACACACACACACACACACACACACACACACACACACACACACGAGCTTTTGCTCCTATCTGCTTCTTCTGGTCTTAAACTTCCAGAGATTTTGTGGAACATTTCATACAAGTAGTTAAAAAATATGAAGACCTAGAGGGCCCATTACTTCTCAGTGACACAAGAATGAGAGTCAGTCAAATTTGTGCAGGATAAACTTCATCAGTACATGGCCCACTCATAAATTTCATGGCCAACATGATTTTAACCATAGACAAGTTTTTCCTTGAATAATCCCCAGATTATAGAACAAAAATCTATGAAAAACTTTGAAGGTAGAATTTGGCCAATAATAGGGCTGATAACAATTCTATCAGCCCTTAGTGAATAAAAGCAACTGAATGGCTTTAGCTGCCATTCGCTCTCTAGGTACACAACTAGGACCCAACTTTTCCTGATACTGGGCATAACTCGCTGTGTGGCAGAAAGTGACTCTTAAGTTCTATGTACAGGTATCAGCTGGAGGTCTTTAGTGTGAATGCAACTGAATCAGGGCCACATTGGACATGGCTCATTAGCAGGGTACTTGGAACCATTTCTGTTTTAAAAACTTCATTTGATAGTATTTTTACAAACACTTTCCAATTTTTTTAGGGCCTTTTAATCATATCAAGTCAAGCCTCCTAGGCTCCACATCGGATTCAAACCTCAACAAATACAGCACCATTAACAAGATTCCACAGCTCACTCTGAATTTTTCAGATGTCAAAACTGAAAAAAAGAATACATCGCCTCCTTCTTCGGATAAAACTATTATTGCACCAAAAGTTAAAGAGCGAACGCACAATGTGACAGAGAAAGTTACCCAGGTAGGAAATGATTTTATTACCAGTTTTAACTGTGTTTGAGGTTATTTTCTACAGCATAAAATGCATGCTTTTTCTTAAGAATGATTATCAATGGAGGTAAGACATTCATTTGTACTTCAATGTATCTTGGGTGTTAGGGTGACCCCTAAAGTATAGCTACAGACTGTGAACCTTATCTATTACCAGACAAAGCCCAGCTGGGATAAACTGGCATTGTTCCTGGTGTCAGAAGGGATTAACCTGCTATTCATTTTGTTTAAATATTTACCGCTTTTCTGTCAACTGTTACAGTCAATAAAGCACTCTAAAAAGTGCAATAGCTTATATGTTTGGTGGTTTACATGATGAATAGGAACTTACTATTAAAGTGGTCCCTTTTTTTGCACTTGCTCTCCTAAGTAAAGTCAGTTGGCTTAAAAAAAAAAGTCTGTCTCAGATGATTAAAAGAATAAAACAATACACTTCACAGGAACAATATTACATTGTTTTCAGACAAATACTGCAACTTGAACTAGGTTGAAAAAGCTACTGTCTAGGACTTCTGCTTCAGAGAAGATATAAAAATGATTTGTATTTATTATATCCAAATACCAACCTAAGCAGTACCTCACTTTTGCTTGCAATGCACTTATATTGTTAGCAATTCATAACTCTAAAAATCTGTCAAGTAAACGGTTCTTACAAAATTTGCTAAGTATATTTGTTTAGCAAGCCTTTGCATAAGCTTGTAGCAATACAAGAGAAAACTTTACCCCAACCTCTATCCTCTTTTTTGAATTAATGTTTTTCTATAATTATAATCACTATAAACATGCTACAGTTCTGTTTGTACATTGCATGTGCTAGCTGCAATTGCATTGACAAAGTTATGAATTACTTATAAATGGATTTGAGCAATCTACATTTTTGAGATGAGAAATTGTATACACAATTCCATTCATAAGAATACCTTTAGTATAAATTTTAATATTTGTACAGTAATGAGCCCCTCTAGATGTATCAGTCCTCTTAAATCATATATGTATAGTAGTTTTAAATGAATAGACCACTGTTATGTGTGTTTTAAACACCATTTTGATAGCTGTGAATTTTATTTGCTGTTCTTCCCTTGAAAATTATTCTGTATACATTAACTGTTATGTGAATATATGTATGTTGAAAAACTTGAGAAGAGACAGAAGAAAGATTGGGAATGGTAGGGCCAGTTTTGTACAAATGGGTAAGCAGTGAAGGTTCATCAGTGGTGAAGCAGAAGCAGTGGGAACCCTGGAAGCTGCCATGTAGGCCCCTGGGAGGCAGATGGGAGCCACTTGGCTCCAGTCCACTGTCACAAGAAAGGAATGCTTCAACAATGAGTGTTCTTAAATCTTGTCTATTTATAAAAAACATTGTGAACCTAAGATTTAAGACAAGCTCATTTGCAAAACTTGGCAAGTTTTTGAAATCCTTCCAGGAAAAACTTCAGGCCTGTAGGCAGCCAAATGTGATCTAAGCAAAGCTTTTATGTGTTGTTCAATCATGAGGGCCACTCTCTCCTGCCATATTCCGCAGAGCCTCTTGCCAGAAGAGAGTGCTGCACCCAAGGGTGAGAGTTGGAATCTGCTTTGGGTGCTTTCTCATCCTGGTGCAACAGGAAGCAGACCTGAAATGCATGCGAGGAAAAAATATAGGAACACAGAATAGAGAGAATGTAATTAAACCATAAAGGAGAATTTTCGGAAAAAAAAAAAAAAAAAAAAAACAAGATAGGGTTAGATACTTAAGATGAATATGAAAGGTAATCTACCAAACAAGGAAGTCAGTAATTTTTAAAATCTAAATCATGCCAAGTGTAGCACGTGTCTGTAATTCCACCATTTTGGAGTCTGAGGAAGGAATACTGCTAGTTGTAGCCCAAGTTGGACAATTTAGTGACTTAAGAAAATCATATTTTAAAATAAAATTTAGAAAGGGGCTTTTTATTTAGTTCAGTGCTAAAGTTCTGAATTCAATCCACTGTAATGAAAAAAAAAAGGATAATCAAAATCAAACAGACTTTTACCTTTGGTGAAGTCTCTTATTGTGTACAACAAAGACAAGAGACATTTTTTGTGTAACGAAGCAAATTTAAGGACTGATAAAATTTATTTCTCAGATGTGATACAAAATTTAGATAGAATAGTATGTGGAGAATATTAATCATGGTGCTAGTATGTGCCAAGATGTATCTGCTGCTATTTGTTAATGGTCTTGCATGAGTCTGCTTGCTCTATGACCTGAAAAAGTCTGTTTATCATTACATTCCCAGCACCCAGAGTACCTGGCATAGTAGAGGCCTCACATATTTGCTGAAGGAAGAAAAGAGTTATTTTACCAAGGGAAGAGATAAGAATTCAATGTAGACCAAAAGCGGCACAAATAGCTACAGAAGCACAAAAGTCCATGCATCTTCTTTAAACAAATAGTTTCCTGGGCCAGCGATGGTCAGGAATGGGGCTTTCTTTTCTAGATAATTCTTTACTATATTTTTATACCTTGCTAAAATGCTATAGCTTCCATCAGAAACTTGACATTAAGAACTCCTGCTTCATCTTTAACATCCTTGTGGCTTTTATATTTAGCATTATAACGGTACAATATGTGTTTTAACATTTCAAAAAATGTTTTAAACTACTGCTATGAATTGAATGTTTTTCCCTCAGAATTCATATGTTGAAACTGAATTATTAGTGTAGTGATGTCCAGAGTTGATTTGGTCTTAAAGTAGAGCCTTCATTTTTGTAAAGACCCCTTTGTAAAGAGCTTCCTGACCTCCTTATTGAGGACACAGTAAAAAAAAAATGATCATCTATGAACAAAATATCAAGCCTTTGTCAGGTACCATACCTGTTGGTGACTTGATTTTAGAATCCTCACCCTTTAGAACTGAGAAAAATAAATTTATACTTTTTATAAACTACCCAGGTGATAGCATTTTATATAATATCCCACACTGACGAAGATGATTCTTTATCACTGATTGAATCTGGGACAAATAGAAAGGTTCCATATTTTTCCTGTAATTAATACACACATTTTTAACATCCTGTCCCCCTCTCCACAGAACTTGGTTTGAAGTGGAAAGGCAGCCAGTGGCTTTTTATGGGGGTTGACAAATTAGAATTGGATGGTGTTTTGTAAAGAATCACATTTTTTAAATATGAAAATTCAGCAAATGAAGGATTCTTGTTCAAATGGTATTTAAGTGGCTATGATATGATCAGAAATGTTGAAAGACTGGATAAAGCTAAACTGGGGGAAATTAGTAGGAACACTTCATCTTCTTTTTAATGTGCCTTTAGGTCTTATTAACAAAACTTTCAATTATCCATGTCAAACCAAACCTGATGAAGATGAAACACTGAGAAACTCCTCCTGTAGGCATAGCAATTAGAGCACTTGAAAGTCAAACTATACGATGGCTCTTTTCGCTTTGTTAGTGTTTCTGAAATTTGTTAATGATAGCTATCTTAGCCGCCTTCCCATCACTGGGACAAATTACCTGACTTCCAAAACTTAAGGGAGGAAAAGCTTCTGTAGTTTCAGTCTGTGGTCACAAGCATAAGGCAGAGGGGTGTGGTGGAGGAACAGATACTAACCCATGGCAGTCAGAAAGGAAAGACAGAAAGAAAGGAGATAAGCTGGGGGCAAGAGTATATAATTCTGTGCCATGGCCCTCAGTGTCCCAACTCCAGTGAGACCAGTCTCCTAACAGCACTCAGCTGCAAACTCACCTCTGGTGAGTGTCACATTCCCTTGACTCAGTCACTCTCTAAACACAGGAGACAATGGGAGCCATTATAAATATAAACCATAAAAAGAACTGTCTTTAGGATTTCCATGTATACTATCTATCACACTACTTACAGTCAATAAAACTACATTGGTAATAACCAAAAATTTTATGTCTTTTCTGTGTACCTTTTGTTAACTCTAGTGAGCTCTCTGTCAGGAGTTCCCTAAAATATTTTCTGTCAACCAGAGTATTTCCTTATCAAATATGCTAATGTAACATGGTATCTCGGTTTACAGGCTTAACTTGCTTTATACCTATAAGAAAGATAGCTATGTTTATGTTTGTGCGGGCTGAATGGTCCTGGTCATGGTTGTCACTTGATGCAAAATTTGCAAATGGAAGTAAAATATGCCCAACACTTCTGTTTGTGAAGCAAATTGTTTGCAAACAGAATAATTTACAAACCGAGGTATTACTTTATTCACTTGATAGGTTTGTATGGTATAATTTCCTTTATTTTTATTTATTTATTTTTATGTTTTTGACAAGGGTCTTTCTTTACAGTTCCAGCTGGCCTTGGGCTTAATTTATAAGCCAGCTGGTCTTGAACTTGCAACAATCCTCCTGTCTCAGCCTCCCAAGTGCTAGGATTACAGGAATGTACCACCATCCCCAGCTTGTATGGCATACTTTCTTTAAAAGAAGTCAATTTTTGGTTTGTAGAGTGAAATAGTCATAGAGCTCAGCAGTAATTTTAAATATTCTTCAGCACATAAATGATAGGACAGACATCAGGTGGAAAAAAACTCATAAATGGAAAAGATATTTGCTCTCTGCTCATATTGTTTTTTCACTCTTTGAATATTATCTCTATCTAATTACACACTGAGTTAGAACTCACCAATTGTTAATATTTGCCATCTTGGCTTAGACTCAGTTTCTATTACATTCTGTCACAAAATTGATTGGTAAAGTATCACATAACTGCCCTGTAATGTTATAGAATCCAGAAAGACATGCAAAACTCTTGATACTCTTACACATATCCATAAGATTGAGCTAATACAAAACTTGCCAAAGCCGACCAAGACCACAAGTGATTCATTTCATCTTAAAAATTAGCATAATATTTGACCTACCTTCAGGATACTGAACTCTAAAATAGTCCATCAATGAGGGCCATCTTATTATTCATTCATCCATTCATGCATTCGTTTCTGTATTCCACAAGCATTTATTAAGAGCA